ATATTTTTAGCTGTCCAGCTAATTTCTTTCTATTTATAGTAGAGACGGGGGTCTCGCTATGTTGCCCAGGCTGGTCTCGAACTCCTGACCTCGAGCGATCCTCCCTTCTCGGCCTCCCACAGTGCTGGGATCACAGGCGTGAGCCACTGCGCCCGGCCAGCCGAAGAATAGGTTTTGAAGGACAGCTAAAAGTCCCTGCTGATCTGATGGGATGCGGGGAGGCGGCAGGTCGGGGGAGCAATCAAGGGCGTGCGCAGACGTGCACGGGGGGACTCTCACGCACACATGCGCACGCAGGCTCACCGTTGGCCAGGAGGTAGAGCACCAGCTCCTCGTGCCCACACAGGCAGGCGTAGTACCTGGGGGGTGGGGAGGAGGCGGCGCAGGCGCGATCAGGAAGCAGAGCTCGACCCCCACCCCCCCTCCCCCCGGCCACCCCTGCGGCCGGCACTCACAAGGGGGTGCTGTCCCACTTGTCCCTGACGTTCACCTCCACGTCTCGCTGCTCCAGCAGGTACCTGGGCAGGGAGGAGGTCACGGGCTGGGTCACGCTGGTTCGGGGTCGGGGACAGGAGCCCACGGAAGGGGCAAGGAGGGAAGCCGCCCCCCCCAGATGCGGGCAGGTGACGGGCACACCGGAGCGGGGAAGGCAGTTGAGGCAGAGAGCAGATCGGAGGGGTGGAGACCGGGTCAGCAGCAGCAGCGTGCAGGGGGGGTGACGGGCTGCAGGGTAGAGGCCAGGCCCAGCGCCGAGAAGGCTGAGGCTTTGGCCTCCCGGCATTGGGGGACAGAGGGGTGACAGAGCCCCCATCTGCGTGGGGCAGGAGGCTGGCCCTGCTTGCGGGTAGATGTCGCGGGACCAGGGGGATTGCTGAGACGTGGGAGGTGACAGAGGGGAGTCACTGGGGTGGAGGCAGCTGGAGGCACACGTCCAGGTTGGACCTGGGAGGGCTCTGAGCTGCGTTCTGCTCGTTCTCTGGTGTTGGGGACGGGCCCAGGGAGGCTTGGGGAGACAGGCAGCGTGGGGACCAGCCCAGGGGAGGTCGGGAGTGGCCGGTCAGGGCCAGGGAACGAGGAAGAAAGGACCAAAGAGAAAGGAGGCCGAGGAGGAAGAGTGTGAGGCCGAGGAGGAAGAGAGGGAGGCCGAGGAGGAAGAG